TCACAGCAATAATAATAATAATAATACTATTATTATTATTATTATTGTTGTTGTTATTATGATCTTAAATATACAATTGCAAAATCAATAAATATATAAACATTTAATAAAAATAATAATGAAACAATGAAAACAAATATGTTATAAATATATAAACAGATTCATTAAAATAATAAAACAAGTTAATGTTTAATACTACTTCAGATAAATCTGTATTTAATTGGTTTTTCTTTCATTGTCTGTCGCAGCATAATAACTCTCACTACCATTATTTCTACTCAACAATTAAGCATCTCAAGGATGAACTTCCAAATCATTCATTACACCAGATAATAATCCATGGCTCATGAATACATGCCTTAGACTTGTAAAAGAGATCTCTGATGGGGTCGAGTTAATCATGCTTTATACAAAGCGGAGTGGCATCCATTTCAAACACACTTTTAATTGACAGACACCACGGAAGTCTTTGAGGGAAAAAACTTCACCAAAGGGTAAAAAAAGCAACAAAAATCAAGCAGATATACATAAATCACAGGAAGTGTGATGTGCTATTGATGTTTTCAGATCAATTAGTCTTTAATTAGCAATATGCTTTGAGTCAAATTAAATAGACTGCCACAAGTAACCTGAAGCGAAGCATTTGAGCTCCATCTCCACAGAAATTAAGTTTGGAAGTGGAAAACTACAGCTGTCTATTTTATTGAACCAGAAGGATGAATGCAGGCACTGGAGCTACAGATCTCTCATATGCACACACATATACTTTACACACATATTATTTTTCAAATGTAAGGACTTCTATGAGAGAGAGAAAAAAAGCTTTTTCCATTTGTGTGAGAGCCCTGCTGTCAGATTTAAGATGGTAATAATGGGATCTCACTGCGAGCCCTCAGAGAAAGTTTAACTCAGACGTAAGATGCGGGCTGGAATAAGAATCAGGAGACAGGGAGCTTTAAACACCCTGCGGTCCTGCTATAGAGAGCCAGCGAAGCCAGGTAGCACTTGCAGGTGAACAAAGACTGGACTAATATCTCTCCAGATATCTTTCCTTCGGTCTCCACGAGGAAGCGTTTGAGGACACAACATAGAAAATCATGTACTGTACCTCCAATAACATCCAAAATGAAGACAAAAAAGTGCTATCTAACGAACAGCTTCATTTTGACAAGTACTTCAGAAAAATTCTGGGGTTTTTTTTGTTTTTTTGAAGGACTTTGTGCGTTCTCTGGGCCGAATTTTTTTCTTTCACCACAGGAGTAGATTAAGATTATTTACGCCTCAGTTCATATGAACAACTCTCATTCATTGCATTGGATGAGAACCAAAAGAGTAATGTAAAGTCTCAATACCAGAGAACAAACAACTTTTTCCACCGCTCTCAGCCGAGACAGTGCAACAGAAAGGGCTACTGTTTGATTTTGAATAAAGGAATAATAAAATCGCTGAATAGGGTGACAGTAGGACACATTTTATCCCTAGGCACTTACGGCTTTGAGGTCAGACTTGAGGGCCAAAGTAGGCACAAGTCCAAGAAATGAAGTCTTATAATATAGCAGCATTTAGCAGAATGAAGGAGTTGCGAAAATCTAAATTCATAAATATATTAAACAAACAAAAAAAAACGGTAATTGAATATTAATTAGTATCATGTTAATTTTTTATTATTAAAATACTTTTTAGAATATAGAGAACTAAACATAAAATATATTTGTAAAAAATATATATAATTGTAATTTATTGTAAATATATATACATTTTTATTTTTTTAACTGGCAATGATATATTTTAATATGAAAATTATTTATATTTAAAAAGAGCCAAAAGTGAAAATAAAACATGTACTTTGTATTTTCTCATGAATTATTATATGAATTAATCTTTCCATATGTAACATATTGATTTCGTACAATAAATACCTAAAAGTACAATTATAATTATATAAAATACAGTGGAGATCAAAATTAGAGAACAACCTATAATTTCCTCAATTTCAAGGTCACTGCTTAGTTATTCTAAGTTATTCTAACAGTAGTAGAAGGGCAGTTTTTTAAGCATATTTCTTTAATTAATAGTATTCTGAAGCACAGAATAAAAAATAAAACTTAAATGAGATATTTGAAAAAAAAACTCCGATCAAAATTAGAGAACACACAAATACCTCCAAGTTATTGGTGTTAATCTGGCACATGGTGCTAATTTCCTTAATTATCTGACAAACCCTATTTGACTGGTAGCATTCCTCAAATTTTCACTGGGATTGCAAGATGGGGGGCCTCTCTAAGGTGAATGAACACTCTCCGACAGCAGGTTGTCCAGATGAAGGTCAAAGGGATGACCCTTTCAGCCATTGCAAGAGAAGTCGGTCGGTCTTTCTAAATCTGTGATTTCTCAAATATTGCTGGTTTACAACGACACTAATTCAAAATCTCTGGAAAATCCTTGGCGACAAAGTTATGGCTAAGAAACCCACTACAGTTGTGAAACTGTGGAAGAGAGTGGAAGAAAAGCGGACCAAGATCACACCAGCGCAGTGTGAGAAACCAGTAATGTCCTGCGGCCGCATATGTACTGAAGTCATTCAAAGCAAGGACCTCTACACTTCCTACTAATTTCTGAGAGCTGTAACCCTCCAAAATGATTGTTGTAATCTTTTTTTGTGCTACAGTGGTTACTGTTCTCTAATTTTGATCACTGTTTTTTCCACAAAATAATTTTATTTTTATTTTTTTTATTTCTCTAGTTATTTTGTAAAACGTGTTAGTAGAACAGTGGTATACCCACAGCTGTTCTTCCTTCAAACTTTGAGCGATGAAGATTAACAATATTTAAAATTTAAATACCACTGTACATAGAATTTTATCAAATTAAATTTAAATTTCACACACACACACACATACACACAATAAATTAACAAACAAATAGCATGTCTATAAGCACAATAGCATTCACTGCCATTTATGTTAAACAATAATTAAGTGACTAAAGAATTTAAAATAGTGCCAGATGCTAATTATGCAACCTAATATTCACAAGTACCCAACAATAAGACATGGCTCATCAATGTATGCTTTATATTCTTGTAAAAAATAAAGTATACTGATATTCTTTCATTTTGGAATCTGAATAACAGGGTACAAGCAAACCCAAGCACAACAATCATCTTCCTGTAATTTGCTGGAGACCCAAACAGCCGGAACGAGTCGGATCAAGCCAGAACCGGCAGCCGGACTTCTTCCAGCACCATACAGAGCTCTCCTCCCTCCTCCCTCCTCCATTCTCTTGCTTAATTCCACATCCGTTTACGTTATCAGCTTAATCTCCAATTAATTAACTTTGTTAAAAAAAGGATTGAGCTCTCGCTTTCTGTCAACAAGAGTGGGGTGTAACAGACAGAAGAGGGTGGGAGGGAATAAAGGGATTGTTGAGAGAAGAGACAAGGGTAGCGGTTGTAAAACGCGGTAGAAGGGGGGGGGGTCCCCGTGGGAGCCAAAATGAAACGGAGAAAGTCAATGAAAGTGGCATTGTGCCAAGGCAAGACACAGTCAGCCAACATGGCACGCATTAATTTAGAACTCTGTCTGCACCGTACAAGGGGCTTATGGGTACTCTGACACCGTTACCACTAGACAGAGCCACTGATTACATTCCCAGTTGATGTTGAATGAAAAATACAACATGGCAAGAGGCTCCAGAGACCGAAAGCATCACATTAATTATCCCTTTGATACATGAGCATTTGTGTTGGTTGTAGTGTAATTGGTGTTGCACGGTTCCACACGGGCCTACATGTCAGACGTAATGTTCATTACTAAGCCATTAAATGACATCCGGATGACTCATATTCATAATGACCGAGGTGTCAAGGGGGACAATTTGAAATTTCTGGTTTTCATGTCAGAGCTGGGATGCAAAACAGGGTTGTTTCTCACTGCTATGGCTAAAAAAGCAGCCAAAATGCATAATGGTTAGCCAAACCGACTGCGCTTTGGAGGATTCTGAGAGGAGAGGGGAAAACAACAACCCTGCCAAACCCATCGGAGAATCAGGAAAGCATGACTGAGCCTAGCGTCCCGCCATCCCAGCACGTAACCAAGGAGACGGCTATCTACAGCGTCCGCTAACTGCTCGCCAGCAACGCATAGGCTTTGGACTTCAGACAAACCCAAGGGTCCATCCAGCATAGTGACATACAAATCATATTTAGAGACCAAAAGCGTGGCTGAAACTCCATCAGGCTCATCATTCCTTGAAATCACCCATTATGACACAGTTTAATGAACGATTAAAGATGTACAAAATTTGAAATTTCTGGTTTTCATGTCAGAGCTGGGATGCAAAACAGGGTTGTTTCTCACTGCTATGGCTAAAAAAGCAGCCAAAATGCATCATGGTTAGCCAAACCGACTGCGCTTTGGAGGATTCTGAGAGGAGAGGGGAAAACAACAACCCTGCCAAACCCATCGGAGAATCAGGAAAGCATGACTGAGCCTAGCGTCCCGCCATCCCAGCACGTAACCAAGGAGACGGCTATCTACAGCGTCCGCTAACTGCTCGCCAGCAACGCATAGGCTTTGGACTTCAGACAAACCCAAGGGTCCATCCAGCATAGTGACATACAAATCATATTTAGAGACCAAAAGCGTGGCTGAAACTCCATCAGGCTCATCATTCCTTGAAATCACCCATTATGACACAGTTTAATGAACGATTAAAGATGTACATACACGTCTGAACTCCCAAAGAAACATTTGGTCAGTCCAACCTGATTTTGCCTCGCTGAATACTTTAAAATTAAAAATATCCAAAAACCAAGAAGCTCAACTCAAGAGATTGATTCAGAGCAAATTGTTAAAATAGAAACATTTGCATAGCGTTTTAGCATTTCCCTTCTTCCTACAAACAACAGTTTCTGATATTAAAAATGAGTCAGTAGATGTCACACTTCACTAATAATGCAATGTGCCAAGTTTCCCGCTGAATAGTTTACACTGGCTTACCTTTCATGCCAAACTTTGAGCGTCTGCCATATTTGTTGATTAGCACAAACATAATGACAAGGAGAACGCAGGCGAAGCCAGCCAAGCCAACCGCAATCGACACCTAGAGAAGCAGGAAACACAACATTTCATTTATTTGACGAACCAAAATATGAGATGAGAGCCAGACTTATGATATAGGATTACTGTATTTTTGGAACTGAATATTAGCAAACTGCTTACTGCGCCGTATAAACAGTTTACTGCCTAATTAAAAGAAAGATCCTACATTGTTGTCACGTTGTCTCATTACACTACATGTTTAATTCACATGGTAAATGTTTAGCTATTTTAACTTATTATTCAAAGCCTGTGCAAAAAATGTCTTAACTAGCAGCAAATGGGTTAAATAATAGGTTTCATTAACAAATTTGTGACGAAAGGCTGTAAAGAAGAAGGTTGTGCGTTTATGAAGAAGGTTTAGGCGGGTTTAATGCAAATGGATAACCTCATTTATTAGAATACTCCAGATTAGAACGAGGTCAAGAATAAATTAATGTGGCAAGGTATTTGGTGCAGAAATGTTTCGTGAGAAGTTCTCCTGCGCGGACAAATATGAAATAATCCTAGCAATTATTACTGAATGAAATGCACTGAGTCTAGTAAGAAGTTGATTCCATTCTCATTAATCACACTGGAATGAAAGGTCAAGTCAAGCGCATTGCATCGTGGGAAATCGTATGCTCGGTTGCACATTTTGGCAAATATAGTAGGTCATCTGTGTATTCTACATGTACGCATAGAGAAAAATTTGCATTCTGTTTATATTCTACACACTGCAAAAATAGTAGCATGCTAGCATGCTATAACTTTAGCTTATTTGTTATTATAATCATTTGTAATCTAAAATGATTTTTACAATCTTTTTACGAGGGAACTACAGTACAGGAATGACATAACTACTGTAGCAACTTAAAATGTGTCAAATAAATATTTCTATCTAATCTCTTGTGTCTCGCACAGGAGGAAAAATGCAATTTTATAGCAAACCTAAAAAGTGTGTTTTGACTTGTTTGTGTGATTTGTATTGATGTTGATGCTGTAATCATGAGAGGTTTATGTAATTGGAGTCATAAGTTGCATATGGCAGCGGTAGCTTTGATAAATTGCATGAAAAGTGAAGGGCAAAGCAAATCAAAGAAAAAAAAAGATTATAATAATAATTCAGGTTAGGTTTTGTAAGAGAGATACAGCCAAGATGGGAAATACAATGCATACAACTTAATATAATGTCTAAATGTTCCAGATAAACACCAAATAAAGACAATAAACAATAAATCAATGCAGTCAAAGTGCTGGAATAAAGCTATCGGAAGCAAAAAGCTTTTCCCCGTAATTAGGACCTCCAAACAACCGAGGGCCACGCTCACTCTTTGTGCCGGTGCCCAAGTCGCTATTAAAACATTCAGATGAGAATATAATCTCCATCCAGTCAATTATAGCACAAAGATGAACAAAAGTACTTTTTTAAGCAGCTGTAAAACATACAAGCCACAAGGGAACCGACAGATAAGAGGTAGAGTGTGAGGGAAAAAACTGGACAAAAAGAAAATGGTTTAGAATAGTTTGTTTTCAACACCTCTGCCGTGTGTTCCTGGGAACAAGATGTTCAAGTAACCTCATTATACTTCATATGGGTGCTTTCAATCTCAGGAGACAAAAACAACACTCACGCCAAACGTGTCCTCTTCAGGCCGATGTGTCATGGTTGGAACAGCTGTCGGAGTCGGACTCACTAGAAAACAAACAAGAGTGTAGTTGTGTTCAGAAAAAGAAAGAAAGAGAAAAAAAGGAAAATATATGTTTTAACCTTTTGAAGATAAAATAATACCACATGGACATACTGTACATTACTGTGACCCCAAAATGGGTAAATTACTTATGTTTTCACCTTGTCCTTTGATCAGTTTAATGCGTACTTGCTGAAGTATTAATTTCTTTTGGGAGGTAAAAAAAAAATTATTAACACCAGAGATTTGAATGGTATAGTGTTTATATACAATTAATAAAAGTATAATGAATTATCAATTAATTATAATTAATTGATAAAAATGTAATACAATTAATTTAATACAAAAATGTAAAATTACATGTCTAATGTTATACTAAAAATAATAATAGAAATCTTTAAAAAAAAACTTACATTTGCTATATTCAAAATCTTGAAACTGTTTACTTCCAGCTTTGAATGAATGAATGAATGCATAAATGTTTTTATATATTTTTAACTTTTGGGGGGAAAGAAAAATCACAAAATCTTGAAAATGTTTATTTCCAGCAGTGTAATCAATAAATTACTCTGTGTAATCAATTTTTTTTTTAGAAAAGAATATAAAGGCAAAATATAGATATACTTTGTATATCTATTATATAGATATAATGGTGACTTTAAATCACCATTCCAATTAACATTTGACAACCAAAAATGTCCAAATTCTGTTTATCTTTATTTTGAAAGATATATGTACAGTATATGCATGATATTGTTTTATCATTTAAAATGACTTAAAATATATGTGTAGCTTAAGTGTCCAAATACATATTGGAGCCACTGTATAAGCAGCATAGATTTGATTTCCCCTCCATGTCATTTTCAATTAATTTTCACAACTAACTACGAATCTACAGACTTGTTAATAAAACAGGCCATAACTTAATTGGTTTCGTCAAACCAGCCTTTAAAAGGTGATGGATGTTTTGCGTTTACTCAAAGTAACTGTTTTAAAGACAAAAATGTCCAATTCTGCTACTGGAAGGCCACTCTCCTGCAGAATTTATCTCCAACATGCCAGCCTGGAAGTTTCCAGTATCCAAAGACCTTGATTTTCTGGTTCAGGTGTGTTTAATCAGGGCTGGAGCTAAACTCTGCTGGAAGGTGGCCCTCCAGGAGCAGGACTACACAACCCTGGTTTTAAGAGAACTGTTGGGGATTATTCACTAAATATGTCTTGGGGCAAATTCTGTTTGATTAGACTGTTGCAAGGTTACTGCCATTTCAACAGTGAGTCCGATCGTAGATTAAGCCGCCGCTAACTTTATGCCAAAAATACAAAACAGGTCTAATAACAGCATGCCCAACTATGGCGGCCGGCCATCTGAGAATAAGGCCAAGGTAATTGTTTGGAGGATAGTTGTTTGTTCAGTGCATAGACCAAATTATTTGTTTCTAAATCATTCTTTGTTTTATGATAAACAAACCTAATGAATATGTTACAAAAATACATGCAGCAAACAATTAAAGAGAGGGAGAAACTCACCATAATCTGGGTAGTCTGATAAAAGAGGGGAAAAAAACACACAGTGGTATATAATTACCAGATATGAATATGTCGAGATCAGCTCTAAGGACTCATGAAAACACATTTTTAAAATGTTATTATACAATGATCAGCATTTACCCTTCAGTGCATTTCTTGTGCAATTATGGTAATGTTCAAATATTTGGTACAAGCCATTTGGTACAAATATTTGCAACAATAATTGCAATATTTAACATGCAATTAAACATTATATTGATGCAATTATAATTGGATAAAAGCGTCTGCTAAATGCATAAATTATTATTATTATTATTATTAATTATTAAATTATGTGGAAACAGACATGAGGGTATCATATGAGCTGCATGTATATATGTTAATGTTTAGAGTGCTTATGCACACAATAACAGTGCCGTGAGGTCAACATTTTGGGTTTCTGAATGAAATCCCTTACGCTCACCAAGACTGCATTTTTTCATCATAAATACTGTAAAAATGTATTCTGTATATATACACACACACACAGATGTTGGGATTGGTTGTTTACAGTGGACTCTCCATAGGCGTAATGGTTTTTATACTGTACAAACTGTATTTTCTATCGCCCTACACCAACCCTACACCTAAACCTACCCCTCACAGGAAATTTTGTGCATTTTTAAATTTTCAAAAAAAAAACACATTTTAGTATGTTTTTAAAGCCTTTTGAATTACGGGGACACAGGTAGTGTCCTCATAAACCAACTTCATATTGTAATACCTGTCATACCCATGTCATTATACAAATTTGTGTCCTCATAAACCACCCAAACCAGTACACGCACACACACACACACACACACACACGTGTTTTCTGAAAACAAACATTTTTTTTTAAGCTGATACATTTTTTCTCAAGATTCTTACTGAATAGAAGAACAGCAATATTTGAAATTCAGATCTTTTGTAACATTATAAATGTATTTTTTAATCAGTTAAAATGTGTCCTTGCTTAAGCATTATATATATAACAATGAAGAAAACATTTTGTATTTAACACTAAATGGTCTATAATCATCATCATCAATTCATCAATTAATTTGATAAAAATGTTTTAAAAAATTAAAAATTTCATACAATCCATTTCATCATTTCATATAAAAAGGTATATATATATATATATATATATATATATATATATATATATAT